TCTGAATCCATCAAAAAACGCTATTTTGCTATGTTGCTGCGACGAACAAAATATATCGTCTTACCCAAGCAACGTAAGTCACGAGTCTTACCTTGTTGTGACCCCAAGCGAAAAAACCTTGGGTCTAATTTTCCCCCAATATGAATTTAGTCAAGCGATTTATTTACTTTTATTTATTAAAACGCCCAAGATATCCAAATTCGATCTCTAGTGACAAAGAATCGTCGATAGCCAAGGGAAAAACGACAATTCGATAAACTTATTCCAGTCATACTGTGCACAAAGCCTAAATAAAATAAATAATACTTTAATCCAGTCACTGCTATGTATTTAAACTCCGTAGAATAACACAAATTCATGGAACCTGAATGCAATACCCATGTATTCTATACTATGATACAGTTGCAGTTGATACTATGATACATTATCGAGATCAATTAATCTCAGGATACACATAATTAATGAGATGTGGTTCATTAATTACTCCTTGGATAAATACTTTTACTAGATCAGCTGTCTACGATTGTTATTGTTCTCCTGCTTGAATATTATGCGGAGACTCATCGATTCAGTATTTCCCATTAAAATGTCATGCTTTGTATGTATTGTAGGTAACGTAATAAGTAATTTTAATGTATTATGCGTTTTAATACGTATGGAATGAGGTTGGCAACATTGCATTGTACCATTTGCAGGTTCCTAATTCACTAATAAAAACCTATACAGAATTTCGATTTAGAGCTGCACGTTGGGTCACGTGATTATGGTCAATAGTTCAACAATTCAACTGCACACGAGTCGCATGTACTATAATATTCGTAGTACCTGTAAGCCTTGGGTGCCAACTTCTCACATAACAAGTTTGGTTGACGTCAGTAAAGGCATACGGTCGTAAAATTCCTGCACAAACAGATTCGCATAGGTGGACACAATTTCATGTAAATATGTATATATATATTTCAGTTTTCCTTAGCATTTGGCAGGGGAATCGTAACATCTTGTAGTGAGAACCAGTGTGACTGGCCTGCCTACGGGATGCTAAGGTTTTCATAGTAAAAGTTATCAGTCACATCCGTTAATGTAATTTCGTTTTACTTAACCGTAAATCAAAAATCACTATAATATTCGTTCATTTACTGGAAAAGTTCTTATTCTTTGTTCCAAACTGTATGTATTTACTATTTTTTTTAACAATAGTCGTTACTTAGAAAGAACTGGTCTCGAAACAATCCTACATGATCCACGCGGGGAGTCAAACTGCCCCCCCCCCCAACTATTTGAAAATAGAACATATTGTGTTTGAATGTGAGATATGATAAATGTTTACTATAATACGTACATGGCATTTGTCCATACGAACAAATCACGGATAAATGTTACACTAATAATAATATATAAGAAGTTAACATAATATAAGGTTAATGTAAATATAA